GATATACTCATATTTGTCTATACATCTGAAAAAAACTGACACTTAATAAATAGGTCAGACGTGATTTCTTAGTATATATCCTAGAGAAAAATCCTTACCATACTTCTTCATATATGTCTATGGTACATATTATTATGGTATATAGATTAATATAAATATATACATATGCATACCCTATTAATATACAGTGTCAAAAGCAAGAAAACACAGCCTGAAAACATCATACCTCCATTCCATATCTGATAAGATTAAGATACAAATGACTGGAAATACTTATATTTCACATATGTGTATGTACTATAGATCTGGTAAAACAAATACCAAATTCAAATGTATTTTTATGACACTTGACAATGTTTTATTTCAAATTTCTCATTCCATGTTTTTTTTGTTGCAAAGACTGAGAAACTGTGATTTGGAAATATTTTCCTTACAAATATTTCTACATTACTATCTATCTCCTTTAATTCCTGAGAACATTTCAACTCTTACCCAGGCAATTCATGCCGCATGGCTTCATTCTGATACTCAGTATGTAGTTCAATTTGCTCTTCCAACATTGCTATTGTCTCATTGAAAGCATCCAGTGCTTGCCTATGCAGATGAATATCTTGCAAAGTCTTGCTGTATTCTTCATAGAATTGGTCATACTGTTTTGTTTTTTGAAGATACTCCTGGTTAACTTCCAATAATTTCTTAGTAACCTTCTCTAAGTCAGCTGTACTTTCCTCTTCAACTTCTGTCTGGATAATGGAATCAGAAACAAAATCAATTTGAAAATAACTCATAATAACTATCTACAGTGTCTTGCAAAAGTATTCACCCCCTACCAATAATGTCACATTTTGATGAAATACAAATAATGTAAACAATTTTTTTAATGAACTTATTTTTATTCAAATTCTAATGATCAAACTTGACACTGTTATGTGTGAAGTTGGTTGAATGTTCTCAAAACCTGCAAAAAAAATATATAAATTGAAATTTGCTGATTTAGCCCCTTAAATCAGTACTTGGTGGAAGCACTTTTGGCAACAATTACTGCTGTGAATCTTTTTGGATAGGTTTCTACCAGCTTTGTACAATCGGATGGTGTAATTTTTGCCCATACTTCCTGGCAAAATTGCTCCAATTTTGACAAGTTCTTTGAGGATCGTTGATGGACTGCAATATTCAAGTCTCACCATAAATTTTCTATTGGATTCAAGTCAGGACTTTGACGGGGCCACTCCAGAACATTCACTTTCTCTTTTTAAACCACTCCAGTGT